GGGGCCGGGGAAGCTGAGGGGCTCCTAGGAGCCCAGAGGGGAGGCCTGGCCTGGCAGAGAAAGGCCACCAGGGGGCCCGCTGGCTGCCCTGCGGGGTGTGGTGGGGGGGGGGGGGTGTCACCAGCAGCAAAGTGAAGGCTCCTTTGCTCGTTCCCTGTCCCAGGCACCATCCGAAATGCACAGCCAGGCAGGGCAGCATTAGAAGGAAGGAGGCAGCCCTAACCGGTGTGGCTCAGTGGATAGAGCGTCGGCCTGAATACGTAAGGGTCCCAGGCTCAATTCCAGCCAAGGGCATGTACCTTGGTTGCAGGCACATATCCAGTGGGAGGGGGTGCAGGAGGCAGCTGATTGATGTTTCTCTCTCATGCATGTTTCTAACTCTCTCTCCCTCTCCCTTCCTCTCTGTAAAAAATCAATAAAATATATTTAAAAAGAAGGAAAGAGGCCCTTGTGTGTTCCCTCAGCTGCCCTGGCACCAGACAGGAAGGAGCTTGGCAAGCTCTGTACCCCCTTCTCGGCCCTTCGGTGGCAGCTCCTGGCCAGCGCCTGCGCGGTAACAACGCTGAGTGCCCACTCGGGTCAGGTGCTGGTTCCTCTGTGACCCGCACTCCCTCAGCGTTCCCGCTGCACTTCCCCAACCCATGGCATTTCGTGGGGTTTGTGTGTGTGTGTGTGTGTGTTTGTATGTGTGTGTGTTTATTGCTTTTAGGAATAGAGAAAGGGAGAATGTAAAAGAGAAACATCAATCGATTGCCTCCTGTATGCACCCCAACCAGGGATCAAACCTGCAACCTGGGCATGTGCCCTGATGGGAATCGAACCACACCAGCCAGGCCCACCTCACGGCGTGAAGTGCCATCTCCATGGCGATCCCTCCTGCCTCTGTGCCTCTGGCCCAGGCCTCCCCTCGGGCTGCAGGCTGCCCGTCCAGCTGCCCACTGTGAGGCTGTCTCTTCGGGCACCTCAGACGCCAAAGCCAGCCCCTGCTCTCACCCCAAACCTGTTCCCGGCACCACATGGTCTCCCCCTATTCAATAAATGGCAGCTCCCATCAGACCAGCAACAGTGGAGTCACCCCGACTTCCCTCTTCCCCTCAGACCACGTGCTCACTCTCTCTGCTAATCCCATTAGCTCCGCCTCCCCGGGACCGAGTCCCAGGGCCCCTCTGTCCTCTGAGACTGCTGCTGGCGGCTTTATTTTGCGCATTGCTGTTGTCTGTCGCCCCCTGCTGGAAGATGAGCTGAGGGCCAGGATCCGTCTGTTTGTTTACTGAAATGTGGCAGAAGTCTACAGCCGGTTTGGCTCAGTGGATAGAGCGTCTGACACAGAGAGGGTCCTGGAGAAATACCGGATGAATGAGTAGAGAGCCTCTCCAGGGCTCCCTCATTCCACCCTGCGCCCCCCCTCCCTCAGTGTATTCTCCACACGGCACTCAGAAGGACCCTGTACACACATGTCAGGCCACCCATCCCTCCTCTGCTCAGAGCCCCCCCCCCCGGGCCCGCCTCATGCTGAATTCAAGTCCGCTTCACGGCCCCCCAGACCCTGCACAATCGCCTCGTTTCCTTTCAGACGCCACCTCCCACTCTCCCTGCGGTTTACTCGGCTCCGTCAACCCTCCTGGCTCAGTCCCTGCCGCAGGGCCTTTGCACAGGCTGCTCACTCTGCCCCAGATGGCGTGTGGCGTCCTCCCTCCCCTCCCAAGTCTTTGTTCAAATGTCAGAGTCTCAGTGAGGCCTGCTTAAACGTGCAACCCCAGCCCTAACTGGTGTGGCTCAGTGGATAGAGCGTCGGCCTGCGTACTTAAGGGTCCCGGGTTCGATTCCGGTCAGGGGCATGTACCTTGGTTGCAGGCACATCCCCAGTAGGGGGTGTGCAGGAGGCAGCTGATCGATGTTTCTCTCTCATCGATGTTTCTAACTCTCTATTCCTCTCCCTTCCTCTCTATAAAAGAATCAATAAAATATATTTTTTAATTGGAAAAAAATAAAATAAAAGAATGACAGAGGGCACTCATGAACTGTCACAAACACGTCTGAGGTCAGAGTTGTCGTTACCCTCCAACACACACAATCACAGGGACCCAGGCCCAGAGAGGGGAAGCGGCTGCCCAAGGCGGCACAGAGCGCTCAGAGGGGAAGCCAGGGTCCAAGCCAAGCACCCCGGGAAGGTGCACAGGTGGACTGCCCTGGGCCTCCCTGACTCCCGCGGCCCCTGTCATGCAGGGCCATCGGGCCTGTGTCTCAGACAGGGACCGCCCAGCACAGGGCATGGCCTTGGGAAGTGCTGGCTGGACGAAACCCTCCTTTTCCTCGGCCACCTTTTCTCCTCTGAATCCTCTGAGACTCCACAGAGGCTCCAGGCCTCCAGGCTGCCCTCTGCCCCCTTGGGGCGCCCCCAGCGCCTTATGCTCCTTCTGTTATCGCACATGCGCACCCCAAGCTGGGAGTGCCTCAGGCTGTGAGCGCCCCCAAAATAGGGCCAGGGTCTGGCTCAAGCCGGGGTCCCCAGCACAGCGCCAGTTTAGCCTGCTCTGGAGTGTCTTCCCTGAGCCCCAGCTCCTCAGCCTGGGTGCAGAGTTCCTGTCCTTGTCCCAATGAATGAATTTTCACTGGTTCCCTCTGCCCAGCAAGGGGCCTGGCACAGAGCAGTGACTGAAGGTCTGGAGAGAGGGAAGGGCACTGCCAGGAGGTAAGGCCGTGGAAGGAATCTCTCTGAGAGATTGGGGGGGGGGGGGGCAAGGAGATGGAGGAGGAGACTGAGACATGGCAACAACAGATTCTTGGAGCAGGTGGGGCTGTTCATGAGTCGTCATGTAAGTATCCGTGTTTTCCGATGGTCTTAGGCGACCCTGCTAGCGGTTCTCAACCTGTGGGTTGCGAGCCTAAGACCATCGGAAAACAGATGTTTGCATTAGGATTTAAAACAGTAGCAACATCACAGCTATGAAGTAGCCACGAAACTAATGTTACGGTTGGGGGCCACCACAACAGGAGGAACTGTATTAAAGGGTCGCGGCGTTAGGAAGGTTGAGAACCGCTGCCCTACAGGGTCTGCTTCCCCACCTCGTCCCCACCCTCACCTGTCCCCTTCCCGCCTCAGGGCCTTGGCACTGCATGGTCCCTCTGCCCGGGTTTCCCTTCACATAGCTGACTTGTCTGCGATGTCCCTCCCCCCAGGGGCCATTCCTGACCACTCCAGCCACAGCAGCGGGCTACCCGGCTCCCTCCCCTTCGGATCTGCTTTACCGTCACTGCTAATGCCTGGCCGGCTGACGGTCCAGCCCTGGGGCGGGGGCCCTCTCTCACTGGTCCGTGCAGCAGCCCCTGCTTCTGCAACCCTGCCCGGCGCCAAGTCCTCAGAATTTGGTCAATAAAGTGTACCACCACGCCCGCACGTGCGCACTTCAGTCCTCCAACGCCACCGGGATCCGGGGCCCCAAAGAGCCTCCAGGGTGCATGCTCATCTCGCCCCGGGCCGGGTGCCCATCGCTGGGCCCCCAGGGACACGCCAAGGTACCCCCGCTCTCCCCCCGTCATCACCCCGCGCGCCCTGGCCCCGCTTCCGGGCGCCCCGGAGCCCAGGGGGCCCCTCCCGCCGCCACGCCCTGGCGACCCTTCACGACCCTCTCTCAGGCCTACGTGCCGGCTCCCCAAGCCCCCTTCCCTGCCCGGCGGGGCCCCCGGCAATCCCCCTCGTCCCTTTTACTCACCCGCTTCAAACAGCGTTTCCCGCCACGGACCGCGCCGCCGTGACCCCTGACTCCCGCGCGCGCAGGCCCAGAGCCGCGGCGCGCCGGGCCGGCCACGCCCCTCCCGCCCAAATAGGGCTAGACCACGCCCACAGCGCCACCTGGCCACGCCCCGTTCTTCCAACTGGGGGAGGCCACGCCCCCTCGTTCCAATGGCAGGCGAATTCTCGCGAAACCCCGCCCCCTTTGGCTTATGAGTCCCGAAGCCACGCCCCTCTTTGCGGAAGCGTCGCGGGCAAGTGAAGGCTGCGCGCGCAGCCACCCTGGGGCGCCACGCCCCACACCAGCCCTCGGGCGCTGCGCGCGCAGCCTCCGCATCCCCTCCCGCCTGCGGCCCGCCCGCGGGCACCAGCTGAGCACTGGCCGTGCGGGCACCGACATCCTGACATCCGCCCTCCCTGAGGAGCTGGGCTCTAAGCGCTCAGGTCCCGGCCTGATTTGTGGTCTCACGGCCTCTAGTGTCCCCATCTGTAAACTAGACCTAGCGTGGGGTGGGCACTCCAGCGGGGTGCCCAGCTCACCATTTGTAAACACTCATCTCTGCAGTCCTCTCTGCCCCGTCCTACAAACAACATAACCTTTCAGTAACCAGCCAGCCCATCTCTCAGCAAAACCCCCTTCACCCTCCACCAGGGCTGTCCATCCGTGCCCCTCCCTGTTCTGAACTCACCAGGGCCTCTCGCCTCCCACACCTGGCACGTGCCCTACATCGTGGGGGCCAAGGCTCCTTGTTCTCAAGGTTTAGGTCCCAGCTAGGGATGGGATCTTGGTGAAGCCTTGCCTTTCTCCTCCAGCACCCCTCTCCCGCCTGCTGCTCCCATTCCCTTACATCCTAGCTGACCCATTCACTCCCCCACTGCCACCTCTCAGGAGGGACTCTGTCTTTTAGCTGGTTTCCAGTGCCTAAAGTCGTGTTTGGCACCGAGGAAATGCTCCACACAGACTAGAATGAATGACATGTTCCCAGAATGGACACAGGTGGCTTCAGCAAGTACTTGTCGACTGTGTGAATGTCCCAGTCCCCTCATCCATGTAAATTGTCTTCCATGAGCTGGCTCCGACTGGCCTTATACAGGGGGGTGACCCCGAGGCCATCAGGGGCCTCTCCTGCACCCACCAGTGCCTGATTGCTGCGAACACCCCCCCACACACACCCGCCTAGCAGCCTCCTTAAAGGGCCAGTGTGGAGCAAGACCCTGGCGGCCCAGCCCCAGCCCCAGCCCCGCTCACACTCACTCTGGCTCAGGGCAGGTTTCTATTCATATTTTATTTTCCCATTTTTTTTGTGTGTGCGGGTTTTTCTTTTCGTTTTTATTAAATAAAAGCAGAAGGAGAGGGGACCTGTGGTCTCTCGTGCTGTGGGAGAGCCACGGGCCTCCCCTCCCTCCGTTCAAGGTGCACTGCGCAGTGGGCTTGAGTACAAGCTGGGCGGGGAGAGCAGCCGGAAGTGCTTGGAGAGGTCAGAGGTCAGGGCCGGCGCCCCGTCCACACCTTCCCAGGAAGACTCAGTGGGCAGGGAGGGAGCCTCCTGGACCCTGACCGGGCTGCTCCGGAGGGCTGAGGGCTGGCGGGGCCAGGGCTTGTGCTCCAGGCCACAAGGCGGCCCCGAGGCTCGGCTCCCCGCAACCCCACCCAGGAGGCGGAGGAGGCGTGGCCACGTCCGGCCGTCGGAGGGCGCAGGGGCTGCGGGCGGGGCTGCGCACCCTCACTCGTGGACGTCCCAGATCTCAGACAGCAGAGGCGGCAGCTTCTTGTCCTGGAGCCGCAGGGCGAAGACCTGCTCCGAGTGCACGGAGCTGAGCGTGCGCAGGCTCACCAGCTTCATCAGCATGCGGGGGAAGCGCAGCTGGTCCTGCGGGCGCGGGAGGGAGGGCGGGCGGCGGGTGATGGCCAGCCCACCAGGAGGGCCCTCCCCAGGCTGGGCCAGTGCGGGCAGAGGCCAAGGACAGCAGGGGGACCCCGCCCCTGTGCCTGGACCAGGCGCGCCCCTTGGTGAGGGGGCAGGGCCAGAGCTCAGGGTGCTGCCCGGGGGGCAGACAGGCCAGGCTCAGAGCAGGCGGCGGGCCGGCCCCGGCTGACCCCGGCGCGTCCCCTGGGCGGGAGGGCGGGGCGGTACCTGCGGCCGCTTGATGCGCGTGTAGGAGAGCAGCGCCTCCACGTAGGGCTGCTGCAGCGCCTCCACGCGGCCCGGCTCCTGCACGTTGGGCCGGTCGGCGGAGAAGATGTTGATGGCGATGAGGAGGGCGTACTCCGCGTCGTCCAGGCCCAGCCGCCGCATGGCCCGCGAGAACTCGAAGATGGGGTTGATGAACTCCACCTGCAGGCCTGCGGGCGGGGGGGGCGGGGGGGGCCGATAAACACGCCGCCCGGACCCGCCCCACGCCCGGCCTGGCGCTGCCCGGCGGGGAGGACAGCAGCCGCTCTGGTGCTCCTGCCCCTCCACTCCCCGGTCCCGCTGCGGGGCGCCTGGCGCAGCAGCTGTGCCACAGTCTGGCCCGAGGGAGGGACTGAGTTCTGAGAGCTGCCATTTATGCAGCGATTGCTACCCTGACACCACCTTCACTTCTTCCGGGCAGGAAAAGGAAAGAGTTGTTTTATTTTTGTGGGTTTTTTTAAATTTAATTTTATTAATTTTAGAGAGGAAGGGAGAGGGAGAGAAACATCAATGATGAGAGAATCATCGAATGGCTGCCGCCTGCCTGCACGTCCCCTACTGGGGATCAAGCCTGCAAGCCGGGCCGGTGCCCTTGGCCGGGATCGAACCTCAGACCCTTCAGTCTGCAGGCGGAGGCTCTATCCACTGAGCCAAACTGGCCAGGGCAAGGAAAGCGTTTTAAGCCCAGGTCACGTGTGTCACCCCCTGCAGTGGCTTCCACTGCTCTCAGGGGAACTCATTCCCAAGAGTGACTCATTCATTCACTCATTCATTCATTCGTCAAACTTCCTTGGGTACCTACTACGTGCCAGCGGAGAGAGCCATTTACACGACAGAGCCGTGCTCTGCGGAACTCACACTGGGGTTGAGAGACAGATAACAGACGGATACACGGCCTCTCCAGCCTGGGAGGTAGCGGTGAGGTCTAGAGAGCGGGCGAATGCAAGGAGGGGAAAGGGGGCCGCTGAGAACCCAAGGTGACCACCTTGTCTGAGATGCTGACGTGGCTCTCATGCCACGAGACATCCGGTGTTAAGGCTGGGAAGGCCCTGCGGGTGGCTCTGCTGGTTGTAGCATCAACCTTGGCACATCCCTCGTTTAATCCCCATCAGGGTGTGTACGGGAGGCAACCGATTGATGTGTCTCTCTCCCTCCCCCCCTCTCAAATCAATAAAAACATAGCCTCGAGCCCTGACCGGTTTGGTTCAGTGAATAGAGAGTCGGCCTGAGGACTGAAAGGTCCCGGGTTCGATTCCGGTCAAGGGCATGTACCTTGGTTGCAGGCACATCCCCAGTAGGGGGTGTGCAGGAGGCAGCTGACTGATGTTCCTCTCTCATTGATGTTTCTAACTCTCTGTCCCTCCCCCTTCCTCTCTGTAAAAGAGCAATGAAGTATATTTAAAAAGACATATCCTCAGGTGAGGATTTTTTAAAAATGGGAAAAATAAACACACACACACACACACACACACACACTCAGAAAAACAAAAATTGGGAAGGAACTGGACAAGCCAGGATAAGCTGATACCTTTGTTCTGGGCAAAAGGACCAGCAAGTATAAAAGCTCAGAGGTGGGAGTATATTTGATGATTCAAATAAGAAAGACGATGCCAAAACTGGTGTGGCTGAGTGGTAGAGCATCGGCTTGTGGACTGAAAGGTCCCAGGTTCGATTCCGGTCAAGGGCATGTACATTGGTTGCGGGCACATCCCCGTTGGGGGGTTGGGGGGGTGCAGGAGGCAGCTGATCGATGATTCTCTCTCATCAATGTTTCTAGCTCTCTAACCCTCTCCCTTACTCTCTGTAAAAAATCAATAAAACATATTAAAGAGAGAGAGAGAGAGAGAGAGAGGAAGGGAGCAGACCAGTGTAGCAGGAGAGTGAGGGGAGGGGCAGGTATGAGGAGGAGAGGGGATGGAGCAGACCCCACAGGCCCAGGGGGATGGGAGCCACGGAGCGTTCTGAGCTGAGGGGCAGGAGCCGCTGGGGTGTTAATAGGATCCTTCTGACCACGTGAACAGACACACTGGGCAGGGGTGCAGGTGGGAGACCGGTGAGGGACCCCTGCCATGGTCTAGGGCAGTGGTCGGCAAACCGCGGCTCACAGCCACACACGGCTCTTTGGCCGCTAGTGTTCTGATGCCACATCTTTTTTTATTTTATTTTATTGATTTTTTACAGAGAGGAAGGGAGAAGGATAGAGAGCTAGAAACATCGATGAGAGAGAAACATCGACCAGCTGCCTCCTGCACACCCCCTACCGGGGATGTGCCCGCAACCAATGTAAATGCCCTTGACCGGAATCAAACCTGGGACCTTTCAGTCCGCAGACTGACACTCTTATCCACTGAGCCAAACCGGTTTCGGCTAATGCCACATCTTCAAGATAGACTCGCCCAGGCAGAAAACCGACTTCTGCGCATGGGCCACGAAGTTTCAATTGCATTGTATGTGCCTGCCCGCACATGGCATTTTGTGGAAGAACCACACTCAAGGGGCCGAAGAGCCGCATGTGGCTCTCGAGCCGCGGTTTGCCGACCACTGGGCTAGGGAGACAAGTGAGGCCTGGACTGTGGCAGTGGCAGAGGATTGGGGGTGGGGGGAATGGTGGGACCCCAGCCTTCCTCCAGCCTTCTCTGTGCTGCAGTGGCCACGGCTTCCTTGGAGTTCCTTAAAACTGCCCAGCTCCTGTCCACCTCAGGGCCTTTGCACATGCTGACACCCTGCCCAAAACTCGCCCCTGCTGTGCCCTGCTGGCGATCTCCTATTCAGAGGGTGACCGACTGTCCTGGGCAGTGGGAGGGCCAGCAGTTAGAGGAAGGGAAGCGGGGTGAGAAGCAGACATCTGGGGGTGCAGACGGGTGCCCCCGGGAGAGAGCAGGACTTCCTGAGAGGGACCAGAGGCCCAGAGAGAGGCGGTTCCCCGGGCCTCAGCCTCTCGCCCTCAGCCTCTCGGCCTCAGCTGGCCTGCCCCTCCCCACCAGCCCACACACCGGGCTGCGTGCTCCGGGAGGGCAGGACCGGGTTGCCCTAAATAGCTGCGCGGGCTGCACGCTTCACAATGGACCGCGAGCCAGCCGCCCTGGGCGGGCCGGGCTGTGGGTGGACAGACCGTCTTTCCAGTCCCACCGAGATGCCTCCCGTGAAGAGAGACCTCGGTGCCCTCCCGCCCTGCGTCCCAGGGGGCAGTCAGCAATCAGGAACGTGCTCTCACCGGACTGCGGGGGGACTCCGCCCTCACCTCACTTTAAAGACTTTCCTTACTGAGAGGGGCAGGAAGAGGGAGAGAGAGAGAAACATCGATGGGATGTTTCTGCTTGCCTCCCGCTACCGGGGATCAGGGCTGCAACCTGGGCACAAGCCCCGAATGGGAATCGAACCGGCAACCTTTCGGTGCCTGGAACGATGCCCATCCACTGAGCCATAGGCTACCTCCACTTTAGAGATGGGAAAACGGAGGCTCAGCCGAAACCGGCGTGGCTCAGTGGATAGAGCGTCGGCCTGCGGACTGAAGGGTCCCAGGTTCGATTCCGGTCAAGGGCATGTACCTTGGCTGCGGGCACATCCCCAGTGAGGGTTGTGCAAGAGGCAGCTGGTCGATGTTTCTCTCTCATCGAGGTTTCTAGCTCTCTATCCCTCTCTCTTCCTCTCTGTAAAAAATCAATAAAACATATTTTTTAAAAAAGAAAGAAACGGAGGCTCAGACAGGGGCGAGCAGCGCGGTCTCCCAGGCCGCCCCCCGCCCCCGCACCTGCGCGGTGGAAGTCATCCTTGCTGTAGGTGAAGTCCTTCAGGAAGGTGATGCACTCCGTCTCATGGTTGTAGCGTCGGGCCGTCTCCAGCAGCATGATCTGCGGGCAGCGGGGAGGGGGCAGGCAGGGGCGTGAGGACCTGTGACCCCTTGGCCCCCAGCCCCTCCTCCCCTGGCCTGGAAGGGGGTCCAGTCTCACCAGGATCATCCCTGTGCCCCTCACTCCCCGTCCTCAGACACAGCAGCCGCAGTCAGCACGCTGGGCCCCCCCGGCCCTCTCCCTCCTCCTTCCGGCTCCCACAGCGCCTTCCGCTTGGTCAGCGCCCCCAGACCATGGCGGTTCAGGGGAGGGATGGGTGTGTTTTGTTCACTGGCATGTGCCCAGCACTCGGAATGGGGCCTGGCACACACGAGGCACTCGATGCTTATCTGCTACCATGGTTTTGGTTCAAATGCCAACTCCTCCGAATGGCCTTTTCGGCACATTCTCTAAGGTGCGTCCCTCCAGCCCCCGCCCGTTTCCTTTCTCCCTTGGCCCGTGGAACCGCTGATGCCCGTTTACTATTTCCTCCGTCAGATACATCCTGCAAAGGCGAGGACTAGGGGGGATCTCGCTTGTCCTAGGGCAGTGGTCGGCAAACTCGTCAGTCACCAGAGCCAAATATCATCAGTACAATGACTGAAATTTCTTTTGAGAGCCACATTTTTAAAGCTTAAACTATATATGTAAGGACATTGTTATTCACTTAATTAGGGTTCTCCTAAGCTGGCCTTTGGTAAAAACTCAAGGGACCATGCCGACACCGGTTTGGCTCAGCAGATAGAGTGTCGGCCTGCGGACCGAAGGGTCCCGGGATCGATTCCGGTCAAGGGCATGTACCATGGTTGCGGGCACATCCCCAGTAAGGGGTGTGCAGGAGGCAGCTGATCGATGATTCTTTCTCATCGATGTTTCTAACTCTCTATCCCTCTCCCTTCCTCTCTGTAAAGAATCAATAAAACATATTTTAAAATAAATAAATAAATAAAACAAAAACTCAAGGGACCAAAGAGCCCCATGTGGCTCGAGAGCCGCAGTTTGCCGACCAGTGTCCCAGGCCTTACCTTGCAGGCAGGAGGGAGGGGAGGGCAGGCGGGCGGGTACCTCAATGGTAGACGCCTTCAGGAGGGCGATCTGGTCCTCGCGGCCCAGCTGCAGGAAGCCGGGCACCTGCTTGGCAAAGTCCACGATCTCCTGGACTGAGATGATGGCCAGCTCCGTGAAGTGGGCGAAGCGCTGCTGGCGGGCATCGCGGGACTGGGGGTCTGCGCCCAGCGGCCAGGGCTGGGACACGGGGAGGGGGAGCGGGAGGGGGGAGTTATTCTCTGGACTCTTCCCAAGAACCCAAGGCCAGGGGGGGCAACTAGAGGCCAAGCCCGCACCCCGGGAGCCCCTCCTCCCCACACCCCTGCCCTCTGGAGCCTCATCCCCTCCCGGTGCCAGGCCCGCGGCCCCTGAGGGCCGCCCAGGGGGCAGTACCGTGACTTTGGGCTGGTCGGAGAAGGAGCGTTTGTTGCACTGCAGCTGGGCCGCCACCAACTGCTGGATCATCAGTTCCTGGGCAGCCGTCAGCTGGACACCCTCGCCTTCCCCGGGGCCCTGGCCGCCGCCGCCGTCCGACCCTCCGGGGGAGGCCCCGGGCCCCGAGGCCGAGCCGCTGCTGACGCCAGGCGTGGCCGGTGACTGCTGCTGCTGCTGCTGCTGCTGCTGCTTCCGAATCTTCTTCTTGCGGATCTGCTCCTCGGAGAGGACGCCTGCGGGGAGACGCGGGCTGAGCGGAGGCCCCCGGGCTGGCACGGCGCCCCCGCGGGCGGGCCGGCGGGCACTCACACTGCTCCCTCATCCCGGCCTCCTTGCACTTGCGCAGCCGGCACTGCTGGCACTTGCGCCGCATGAAGGCGTCCATCTGGCAGGAGCCGCCGCCGCGGCAGGCGTAGCGGCCGGCCCCGCCGCGGACCACGCTGCGCCGGAAGAACCCCTTGCAGCCCTCACAGCTGAGCACGTTGTAGTGGAAGCCGGAGGCCTTGTCCCCGCACACGCGGCACAGCTCGTGGCCCAGCATCTTGGGCGCCGGGCCCTTCTTCCGCTTGCGCTCCGGCTCCTCCGCGGGGTCCGGGGTGACTGGGGAGGGCGGGCAGAGGCCGTGAGAGTCACAAACACAAGGCGGCCAGCGAGGCAGGCCCGCGGGAGAGCAGAGAGCCGGGGTGCCGGGGGGTGACCCAGGGAGATGGCCATTCAGGGGGGAAGGTGTGTTATGGCAGGGAACCCCAAGAATGGATCAAAGTGAGAGGTGTCGAGGAGGAGCAGAAGAAAAAGTATCAACAAGAAATCGGAGCCCCAGCCGAAACCGGGTTGCTCAATGGTTAGAGCATCGGCCTGCGGACTGAAGGGTCCCAGGTTCGATTCCGGCCAAGGGCATGTACCTTGGTTAAGTGGGGGGTGTGGGGGTGCAGGAGGGGTACCAGTGGGGGGTATGGGGGGTGCAGGAGGCAGCTGATGGGTTTTTCTTTCTCATGGATGTTTCTAACTCTCTATCCCTCCCCCTACCTCTCTGTAAAAAATCAATAAAGTTTTTTTTTGTTTTTGTTTTTAAGAAAAGAAATCGGAGCCTCCTGTCCTCATGTCTGATCTTTCTCTCTCCCTGGATCCCTCCGCCTGCCTCCCATACCAACCCCCAGCCGGTGTCCGGGCCCCATTCTCACCCACGCTGCAGGCTGAGCCGACCCCATCTCTGCCCGGGACATCAGGGTCCGGGCCCCCCGGCCACGGCTCAGGACGCTCCTCCTTCACAACGGGCTTAGAAGAGGGCGCGCTGGGCGGAGGGGGCACATTCCCTGGGAGAGGGAGGTACAGTGAGTGTCTCCTGACAGCTGTGGGACGGAGCAGGGGGCCGGGCTGGGCTGGGCTGGGGCTCACTCACCAGGCAAGGGGGTATCCTGGGAACTCGAGGTAGGGGTGGACATGGTGGGGTCACGGAGCAGCCTGCAAAATACAGGGGCCGGGGAGCCTTGTGGGCCTGGGAATTCAGCCACAGGTTTTGAGGGGAACACCTTTCTTCCAGGGTTCCCCCAAATTCCTCCCTCACGGCGTATAGAACCCAACCCCAGACCCCCAATTTTAACAGCTCGCCCCTTCTGCTGAGACAGCCTCAGGCTTGGCTTCCAGCCACGTCCTCACCTAGACCCCGCCCCCACAGGCTCCGCCCACTCCAGGCCACGCCCACCCCTCAGTCCAGGTGCTGTCCCTTCTTCCCACTCAGTTTCATCCCACCTCCTCTTACTCCTCCCCGCCCCGCAGAGGAAGAAAACCCATCTCTAGACGAAACTGGTGTGGCTCAGTGGACAGAGCGTCGGCCTGCGGACTGAAAGGTCCCAGGTTCGATTCCCGTCAAGGGCGCAAGTACCTTGGTTGTGGGCACATCCCCAGTAGGAGGTGTGCAGGAGGCAGCTGATTGATATCTCTCCCTCAGTGATGTTTCTAAATCTCTACCCCTCTCCCTTTCTCTTTGTAAAAAATTAATAAAATATATATTTTTTAAAGAGCCAAAACCGGTTTGGCTCAGTGGATAGAGCGTCTGCCCGCGGACGGAAAGGTCCCAGGTTCGATTCCCGTCAAGGGCATGTGCCTTGGTTACAGGCACATCCCCAGTGGGAGGTGTGCAGGAGGCAGCTGATGGATGTTTCTCTTTCATCAATGTTTCTAACTTTCTATCCCTCTCCCTTCCTCTCTGTAGAAAAATCAATAAAATATATTTAAAAAAATAAAAAGAAAGAAAAAAAAAATCTCTCAGCCCATCCCCACCTCCTCCTCTTATGCTCCGCCCCCATCCTGTCCGCCTTCCAGGTTCCACCCTCACTCCTCCCATAAAGTGGCTGCGGATCCCTTTGCCCCCCAGATCCCGACCCCTCCCCTCCCACTAAGCCCCGCCCCGCCCCCAGGCTCCGCCCCCTCACCTCTCTCCAGGTCCCGCCCCTCTCCAAACACCAGTGGGGGGCGGGGCTCATGGCTGCGCGCGAGGGTCTCGTGGGCGGTCTCTCGCGGGGTCTCGGCTCCGGTTGCCCTGGAAACAGCCGGGGGCGACGCGAGCTGCGGAAAGGCGGGGGGAGAAGGAGAGAGGGGCTGAGCGGAGAGGCGCGCGGGGCTCCGGGAGGCCCCGGGCTCGGGGCGCTCCCCGCAGCTCCCCGCACTCGGTGCACCTGCGCCCGTCCCCCCCTTACTCTGCTTCTCCTTCTCCTCGTCCGTGTCCCCTGGAGGCCACCGCCGCTCCGGGCTTCTCAAAAGTAACTTCGCCACTTCTTCCGGCAACCCCACTGTGTGTCACTTCCGGCAGGGGCGGGCAGTCGGGGGTGACGGACTTCCGGTCCGCCTGGAGCTAGCCAAGTCAGGAGCCCGCGGGGCAGTGGTGCACCCTTTGGAAGCTGGCCCTCCGGGCAGGTCTGCCGGAGGCGGAAGCGTTCCGGTCTCATTGGGTCAGACGTGGCCAGCGCCAACCTCCCCGCCGGGCGCGGGTGTTCCTCTGGCTCCGGGAAAAGACTGACTCGGCTTATAGCTCCCCAAATAGAACTCCTTTTCGCACAGGACGGCGTTAAAGCACGTGTGTCCCTTTTTGGTGCTTATAAGTTTTCTCATTTTGGAGATGCTCTGATTATTAGTTTATTTTTTTTAATATACTTTATTGATTTTTTACAGAGACGAAGGGAGAGGGATAGAGAGCTAGAAACATCGATGAGAGAGAACCATCGACCAGCTGCCTCCTGCACACCCCGCACTGGGGATGTGCCCGCAACCATCAAAGCTGGGACCTTTCAGTCCGCAGACCGACACTCTATCCACTGAGCCAAACCGGTTTTGGCTGATTATTAGTTTTACATAACTTAAATTACAAATCTTGACCCAGAACAAAAACATTTAAAATATATATATTTTATGGATTTTTTACAGAGAGCAAGGGAGAGAGATAGTTAGAAACATCAATGAGAGAGAATCATCGATCAGCTGCCTCCTGCACACCCCCTATTGGGGAGGTGCCCACAACCAAGGTACATGCCCTTGACCGGAATTGAACCTGGGAACTTTCAGTCCGAAGGCCGAAACTCTATCCATTGAGCCAAACCGGTCTCGGCTAAAATCATTTTTTAAATAACTTAGTGATAGAAGTAAAATACTATAGCCTTCTCCTACTAAAAAAGATACAACTAATATCTCTTAAAGAAGACTCAGAATACTTGAACAGGTAAGAGATGGAAGTTGTTCCAAAGTCTTTCCCCCCCATGACAATCAGTTCTATATTGCGCATGTATACATTTTTTTTTAATGAAAATGTCTTGACCCATGATTTTTGTAGCTTGTTTGGTCCATTTGGCATGGCCTCGAAGCTGTGAAGTTTTTCATCTGAGGATGTGACCATTAAAATGAGTGGTTAAACCCAGCTGGTGTGGCTCAGTGGTTGAACATGGACCTATGAACCAGGAGATCAGGGTTCCTGTCCAGTCAGGCCACATGCCAGATTGCCAGATGGATCCCCAGTGGGGGGCATGCAGGAGGCAGCCAATCAATGATTCTCTCTCATCGATGTTTCTATCTCTCCCTCTCTAAACTCAATAATAAAAAATAAAATTTTTTAAAAACACCCAAAAAGGTGGCTAAAGGGGATGGCTGAACCAATGCCTTCTTTCTCCCTGTGTAATGTTAAGCCAAGCTGTTTGCCCTCTTTGTGCCTCAGTTTCTTCATCTGTAAATTGGGAAGGAGACCTCATCGCATCGTCATGATGACTCAGTGAAGTAACAGGCAGGAACTGGGCCAGGCTCCAGTCAGGAGCTCTCCCTGGAATAGACCCGAGGGGAACTGCAACAGTTTTGGTTTGTTATTGTTGTTTTTGACATTCAAAATGAAAACAACTTTATTGCAAAATGTAGGACACAATAGACTGCACAGAACAACAGGAATAAGACAATCCCAAGACAGAATTGCAGCAGTTTTGGAGCAAGTCACATTGCTCTCGGTCTCGGGAGAAATTATTTGTATTTCTTCCTTTTTAATAATATATTTTATTGATATTTTACAGAGAGGAAGAGATAGGGATAGAGAGTTAGAAACATCGATGAGAGAGAAACATCGCTCAGCTGCGCCCTGCACCCCTTGCTGGGGATGTGCCCGCAACCAAGGTACATGCGCTTGACCGGAATCAAACCCGGGACCTTTCAGTCCACAGGTCGACGCTCTACCCACTGAGCCAAACCGGTTTTAGCTGTATTTCTTTTTGAGGCAGGATAGCAAGAAGCTAGGGAAATTCCGTGCAAGTGGGATGAGGAAACTGAGACAGACACTGAACCAGCTGGTGGAACAAATTACAGCCAGAAACAGATCATCAGGGCCAGAAGCCTGGGTGCTTAGCAATGGGCAAAGCTGGTGCCGAACCCGGCTCCAGGGTGGCGTCTCCTCCCCTGACACATCCTTGGCCAGGCAGTTTTTTGTTGTTGTTTTTTAATGTATTTTATTGATTTTTTACAGAGAGGAAGAGAGAGGGATAGAGAGTTAGAAACATCGATGAGAGAGAACCATCTATCAGCTGCCTCTTGCACACCCCCCACTGGGGATGTGCCCGCAACCAAGGTACCTGCCCTTGACGAGAATCGAACCCGGGACCCTTCAGTCCACAGGCTGACGCTCTATCCACTGAGCCACACCGGTTTCGGCTTGGCCATGCAGTTTTGACCCCCCCTGAGCTTTTCTTCCTGGAGATAACATGTAGGCCTCAGTTGTAACTCAGCTCCAAGCCCCTGAAAAGCAAAAAGCGGCAAAACCAGGCCAGCAGCCCCAGGACCAGCCAGGTACTAATCACCCCTGACACTGACCCATCAGCGGAGACCGTGACCCTGAAACAATACGCGGGAGCCCTAGCCGGGCGGAATGAAGAGCCTCCGGTTCTATCCCGCTCAGTCCCCAGTGGTGGCGGGCAGGAGGCAGCTGATCAATGATCCTCCCTCATCATGGATGTTTTTCTCTCTCTCTCCCTCTCCCTTCCTCTCTGAAATCAATAAAATAAATAAATAATCATATACCCTAACCTGTTTGACGTTTCTCTTTTTTAAAAAAAAAATATATTTTATTGATTTTTTACAGAGAGGAAAGGAGAGGGATAGAGAGCTAGAAACATCGATGAGAGAGATACATCGACCAGCTGCCTCCTGCACACTCCCCACCGGGGATGTGCCCGAAACCAAGGTACATGCCCTTCACTGGAATCGAACCCGGGACCTTTCAGTCCGCAGACCTATGCTTTATCCACTGAGCCACACCGGCTTCGGCTGTTTCTAACTCTTTATCCCTCTCTCTTCCTCTCTATAAAAAAATCAATAAAATATATGTTTTAAATGTACAGAATAATCCCTCTTTTACAAGGTTTTTGGGCCATTAAATAAAATGGTGGATTGAAAAATGTAGTAATTCCTTATCCAATTTTGGGATCGTGCTGAGCAAGTCCGATGACTCAGAAAGGAGTCAGGTCTGACCCTCACCTCAAGGCTCACCTCATCTGCTGGTGGAGGTCGCCCTGGCCACACACCATCGTGTGACAACACGGGCGACCCAGGTCTCCTCCTGAGTGTGTTCAGAAGACATCGCCCAGATTCCTCCGGCAGCGGCGATGGGGGCCCTTTTCCCGTGAAGTGGGCAGTGAGAAGGGCGGGGGCAAAGCAGGGAAGCTTTACAAAGCTGGATGTGCCCTGGCTGGGTTTGTTCAGTGGCTAGAGTATCGGCCTGTGAGCTGAAGGATCCCTGGTTTCATTCCATCAGGAGCACATTCCCGGGTTGCGAGCTTGATCCCCAGGGTGGGGTGGGGGGGTGGCAGTGCAGAAGACAGCCAGCCAATCGATGATTCTCTCTCATCATTGATGTTTCTCTTTCTCCCTTTCCGTTCCTCTCTGAGATCAATAAAATATATATATATATATTTTTTAAAAGCCGGATGTGTTCCAGGATTGCAGCTCAGGAACCTGGGAAGGTAACATTTAAAAATTAATTATTAAGCCGAAACCGGTTTGGCTCAGTGGATGGAGCATCGGTCTGCAGACTGAGGGGTCCCAGGTTCGATTCCGGTCAAGGGCATGTACCTTGGTTGCGGGCACATCCCCATTAGGGAGTGTGCAGGAGGCAGCTAGTTGATGTATCTCTCCCATCGATGTTTCTTGCTCTCTATCTCTCTCCCTTCCTCTCTGTGAAAAATCAATAATAAAATACATTTAAAACAAAACAAAACAATAAAAATTAATTTTTTTAAAAGGAAAAATTACTACCTTGGGGAAGATGCTTAAAAAATACTTGTTGGGCCCTGGCTGTTTTGGCTCAGTGGATAGAACGTCAGCTTGCGGACTGAAGGGTCCTGGGTTCGATTCCAGTTAGGGGCACATGCCTGGATTGTGGGCTCAATCCCAGGGCGGGGGAGGGGGGGAGTGAGAGGCAGCGATTGGTGATTCTCTCTCATCATTGATGTTTCTCTCTCTCCCTCTCCCTTCCTCTCTGAAATCAATAAAAATATATTTTACAAAAAACTCTTGTTGGATGGCAGAGAATTCAGTTGAATTAAGAGACTGGTTCTTCATTGTTGGAAGAAAGCTCACAGATATCAGTGCCAATGTAAAAATGTTGCGTGCCAAGTCAACCAGTTTTATAGCGAGCATACTAATTTTTAATGGACTTTCAAAAAAATGTGTTGAAATTTACGTGAAAAATAAATGTAACTGTATTACTGGAATTCATGTAAAAATAGTCTATCAGAAAATATTTTCCTCGTACTGATTAAGGAATAATCACAAATCTTTACATATCTAGCTGTTGGGAATATGCTTCATAAAGTTTGAAGAAGTCATAAACTAGGACTTTCTTAAAAGAAAAGAAAAACATAAAACGTGCCGAAACCGGTTTGGCTCAGTGGATAGAGTGCCAGCCTGCGGTCTGAAAGGTCCTGGGTTCGATTCCGGTCAAGGGCATGTACGTTGGTTGCAGGCACATCCCCGGTGGGGGGTGTGCAGGAGGCAGCTGATCGATGGTTCTTTCTCATTGATGTTTCTAACTCTCTATCCCTCTCCTTTCCTCTCTGTAAAAAATCAATAAAATATATTAAAAAAAGAAAAAGAAAAGAAAAACACAAAACGTGTGTGTGTGTGTGTGTGTGTGTGTGTGTGTGTGTGTGTAAAAATAGGACCACACTGCCACCATGTGGCCATTTGGGAAAATGCAGGCTGGGGTTGGAATAGTGCAGAATCCAGGTGGGATGATCCTGAAGAATCAAGATAAAATATTCTGCCCTACCCGGTTTTGCTCAGTGGATAGAGCGTTGACCTGCGGAC